CTGAAGTGTGGGAGTGGGTCCTTTTCTAGGTACCTCCCGGTGGTCGGAAAGGGTGTCAACGCTCTGCACTTATTTTCCATGGGACCCCAACATCCTTCCCAGAAGCTGAGCTAGCAACTGGTGTAGATTTCCCAAATCTTAGAGTCTGAAGCAGCTTCTTGAACCTGGCAACTTTCCTGGGCTTCTGTCTGGGAGGTGGTGGTTTGTTTGCTGGGGCCCGATATCTATCCCATAGGAACTACATCCCTGGGAAGGTGTGCCCAAAGGAGCCCCTCTCACTACTGACCCTCTAATTTCCTGCTGAAATGACATTGGTTGTTACACTAAGCCTCTCTCTCTCTCTGATCTGAAGTTGGCTGTCCATGCTGTAGCCTGATAGACTGTGTGGCATTGTGTTTCTTGGCACCTGACTGTACCTTGGGTGCTCTGCTAGGATCCTCTTCTCTGAGGAGAGGTGGAAAACACAGGCAGATGCCCTTTGCGTTGGGTTGAGGTCGGTGGGGATTGCACTAGAAGGCAATTTCTTTGGCATTTCACATGCTAGAGGCTGACCCTGGTTGGGGAGCATGTGCTTGTGGGACCCTTGGATACATACTGATGCTGAAAGTCCAGGGGATTTTCTGTCTTGAGCTTAGCCAGGAACACAAAGCAGGGAAGGACCCTGCCTTTCCTACTTGCATGAACTCTTTCCTTTCGGGGAAGGTGGCAGAGACCTCAAAGCTCTCATTTTCTCCGGGCCCATTCCCAGTTTTGTCAAGAGTTTCCTTTGTTGTACTTTCTCGAGAGAGACCTTGTTGCTCTTCATGGCAGTGATTCTGAGGACTAAGCTGTGTGTCGTGTGGAGCGAGGTGTGCGGGTTTTCTGGGCCTGTCATCATGGCTGCTTCAAGGTCAGGAGAAAGCTGTAGGGTAGTCGAGGGGATCCTGTTGCCTAGACCCCCTCCTTTGTGGCTTGCTACTCTAGCTGCCGGTCTTTGCTCACCAGTAGGTAAGGCAGTATGGGCTGGGCCAGCAGTTCTGCCTCCCCAAGCCCTTGCTACTTTATGGGTTAGTTTTGCAGGTTTTGTGGCTTGAGGGCTGGGGGAGACTCGCCATGGCCAGGTAACTCCCTGAAGTGTGGGAGTGGGTCCTTTTCTAGGTACCTCCCGGTGGTCGGAAAGGGTGTCAACGCTCTGCACTTATTTTCCATGGGACCCCAACATCCTTCCCAGAAGCTGAGCTAGCAACTGGTGTAGATTTCCCAAATCTTAGAGTCTGAAGCAGCTTCTTGAACCTGGCAACTTTCCTGGGCTTCTGTCTGGGAGGTGGTGGTTTGTTTGCTGGGGCCCGATATCTATCCCACGTGGTGTCAAAAGTGAGGGTTCTTTGCTCAGGCTCCCTGTCCTGGAAGGACTGGAGTTCTTTATATAGGGTCTCAGGGAAAAGGGTTACTGGTTCTGACAAGACCCTGATTGGAGAGATTAGGTTTGTGTTTAGAGTCCATCCACATGTTGAAGTTCCCTGAGACCGATCAGCTCTCCAGTTCTGGGCTGAGCAGCCCCCCGAGAGAGGCTTGCTCCCTTTCCCACTTTTCCAGTGTTGGTGTTGTTGCTGCCTTTTTCATCTGTATCCTCTGTTACTGACTTTTTTTTTAAGTTAAAAATTCCTTCTTTCATTATACACAAGTGCTGGGAGCCTGGCCCCATTTCTGCTGTGCGTGTATCCTGACTTGGGGCTTTATTCAGCAAAATGTTCATTCTTCTGTCCGACAATGTCATACTCAACTCTCTTCATATTAACACACTGAAGAAAAAAAACCCCCACAATTCAGGGACTTCCCTGAATTGGCCCAGTGACTAAGACTCTGCACTCCCAGTTCAGAAGCCCAGGTTTGATCTCTGATCATGGAACTAGATCCCACATGCCGCAACTAAGCAACCAAATAAATAAATTAGCAAATATTTAAAAACAAAACCCAAAACGTCCACAAAAATATGAAGATCATGCAAGGAGAGACTGAAGAGCCAGGCTGAAGAAGACTAAATGCGAAGTTTGATGTTGACAAATAAAGGCCATTCTTGGGAAGCACTGTGTGTGATGAGATCTCTGTTGATGGATTTGGAGTGGTGTTATTCTCCTGACTTTGGTGGGAGTTCTCTGCCTATGCAGGTGCCCCAGTGGCTCAGATGGTAAAGAATCTGCCTGCAATTCAGGAGACGTGGGTTTGATCCTGGGGTCAGGAAGATTCCCTGGAGAAGGAAACAGCAACCCACTCCAGTATTCTGGCCTGGGTAATTCCATGGACAGAGGAGCCTGGCAAGCTAGAGTCCATGTGGTTGCAAAGAGTTGGACATGACTCAGCAACTTTCATTTCACAATCTCTTGATTTTGGTGGTAGTTCTCTGACTATGAAGGTAAGTGTTCTTATTGACTTTAGGAAATCCACAGATGTTTAGGGATGCTGAGAGTATTAAAGGGAGTCATGCTGCATTCTACTCTCAAGTGACTCAGAAGGAAAGAGCAAGTGAAGGCAAGTTGTAAACTGGGGAATCTTGATGAGTATTTGGGAGTTTTGTCTTCTTAGCATATTTTGCATGTTTATTATGGCAGAAAGCGAAGAACTAAAGAGCCTCTTGATGAAAGTGAAAGAGGAGAGTGAAAAAGTTGGCTTAAAGCTCAACATTCAGAAAACTAAGATCATGGCATCCGGTCCCATCACTTCATGGCAAATAGATGGGGAAACAGTGAAAACAATGACAGATTTTATTTTTGGGGCTCCAAAATCACTGCAGATGGTGACTGCAGCTCTGAAATTAAAAGACATGTGCTCCTTGGAAGAAAAGCTATGAGCAACCTAGACAGCATATTAAAAAGCAGAGACATTACTTTGCCAACAAAGGTCCATCTAGTCAAGGCTATGGTTTTTCCAGTAGTCATGTATGGATGTGAGAATTGGACTATAAAGAAAGCTGAGTGCCGAAGAATTGATGGTTTTGAACTGTGGTGTTGGAGAAGACTCTTGAGAGTCTGAGGAAGATCCAACCTGTATATCTTAAAGGAAATCAGTCCTGAATATTCACTGGAAGGACTGATGTTGAAGCTAAAACTCCAATACTTTGGCCACCTGCTGTGAAGAACTGACTCATTTGAAAAGACCCTGATGCTGGGAAAGATTGAAGGTGGGAGGAGAAGGGGACGACAGGGGATGAGGCAGGTGGATGGCATCACCGACTCAATGGACATGAGTTTGAGTAAACTCTGGGAGTTGGTAATGGACAGGGAGGCCTGGTGTGCTGCAGTCCATGGTGTCCCAAAGAATCAGACACAACTGAGCGATTGAACCGAACTTGACTGAGTTATAATTCCCATGTCATCTGATTCACCCACTTAAAACATAGCAGTTCATTTTTAATACATTCACAAAATTGTGCAACTATTACAGTTTTAGAATATTTCCATCATCCCCTGAAGAAACCCCGTACCCACTAGCAGTCACTCCTATTTCGCCATCTTTGTCTTATTTTTGTATTTGTTTTTTGATAGTTTGAAAATGTTTTAAAATACAAGATTATGAACTTACAATATCTGTGTTGTAATAACAATAAGTTACTGAGTATTAGAGATTCTTTGCACAGCCAAGGTACTATGTTCACAAGTCACTTGGAATAGTTCTTTTTTTCTGGTCGTTAGATTACTACATCCTCAACCAGTTTTGTGTAACTTAGTTTCTTATTCTGATGTTTTTATTTTTTGCTCTTTAAAATTTTCTTTTTGATGATTTAACATGATTCAAGGTCAAGATAGTGAAGAGAGTTAGGCTTGGAGGAGCACACCTTCAATCCCATCCATGTTGCCATGTGTAATCATTTCCAGTTTATCTGTTCACAGTTGATTTTTGCAAAAATACGCAAACACACACAAACAGATGAACACTTGCAAGGGCACACAGAGGTCAATGAATTGCTCACACGCATGTGTGCCCACACATACTTGAATTTCCCTCCTTATAGAAAAGAAATCATGCTATACATACACCAACCTACTTTTTCATTTTTTTCTTTTTCTTTTTGACTCTGTAAATCCTGGCTATTATGTCACAACCATCATAAGAAATTTTCTTTTTTTTTTCCCCATTCCCAGTTCCCTGTAATGTGGATGTTCCTGGTTTGTTCTGTCGTTGAATCATTATGGACTGTTTTCCAGACTATAGCAAACTCAGCTGCCCCACTGGCTCTATGCATCTGTATCCTGCTCCCAACCACGTTGTAGGGGGGCCACCAGCAGAGTGTGGTCAAAGTCTTCGGTTTTTGTTCATCAAGTAGGTAGGAAATGGATCCCAGTGAAATTTTTAGTGTTACTTTGCATTTCTCTTGTTATGAGCAAGGTTGAACCTCTATCCCTTTTCCGTGTCTGATCTGTATCCCCCACTAGACTGTCAGCTCCACCAGTCAAGAGCTTTGCTGATTTAAGTGGTCAAATGCATGGCCTAGAAAGATTCTTGGGCCTCTTATGGGCTCATAAACAATTGCTTAATGGAGCAATGAATGGGTGGATGAATGAATGAATATATTCAGCTCTCATCTCTTACTGAAATCAGGCATAAACCAGGAAACAGTATTATATATTCCAGAAGAAGAAGAGAGTATACCACCGGAAGCCCCAGAGACAGCCAGAGGGGCCAGCTGGGTTCCAGCGCTGCCTCCTGCCCCATTCCCAAGTAAAGGCCTAGAAGCGCCCTTTCTGCAGAATAGAAAGTGCTCCCCCCAGGTTACGGGAGCCAATCTCTGCCCTCAGACAGAGGGGGTCAGTGCAAGGATGCCCGCAGCCCTCCCGTGTGACCCAGGCAGGTCCTGCATCCTCCCTCCACCTCTGCCACCCCCACCCACAGTGGCCCCAGTGACCACAGAGGCAAAGTGGACGTTAATTCGTTTATTGGCCCGTCTCGGGGAAGGCGTGGGGTGGGGTGTGAGACTCCCTAGAGCATCTGGGGGCTCATTCCGTCCTGGGGCTCCTGCGGCGGCCTCAGCGGTACTTCTCCGTCAGGACGCCGGACACGATGGACAGGAACTTGTCCCAGGCGGCGTGCGCGTCGGCCGTGAAGTCGGCGGGGAAGTGCGAGGCCAACGTGACCAGCAGGCAGTGGGACAGGAACTGGGGCGGGAGGAAGAGCGGTCAGCGCTGGCGGCCCGGACGAAGCTCCGCCTCCGGGACCTCGCCCCGCCCCGGGACCCCGGCCCAGGAAGTAGCCCCGCCCACCGAGACCTCGCTCCGCCCCCGGGACCCCGGCCCCAAAACCCCGCCCCCGGGGCCCCTAGCTCACCTTGAAGTTGACCGGGTCCACGCGCAGCACGTAGGCGTGCAGCTCGCTTAGCTTAGACAGCGCGATCGCCACGTTGTCAATGCTCTTGACCGCGTCGCCCACGGCGGCCACCACCTTGGAGCCGTGCGCGCGCAGCTGCGCGGAGCCCGAGTGCAGGTCGAAGTGCGGGAAGTAGGTCTTGGCCTGGGGGTAGCAGGAGAAGAGCCTGCGGGCGGGCGGGCGGGTGTTAGTCACCGCTCTGGGTGACTCTTGTGGTAGTGAGCACTGCGCTACCCAGTAAGGCCCGGCCACCTCACCCTGACCGCCCGTCTCCAGGTCATTCCTTCCCTCCCTCCCTTCCTCCCTCCCTCCACGTGATTGTGGGGACCTGGGTGCTGGGCCCCGCGAGACACAGGTAACCCTCAGACCGCCCCCATCACCTCCTCCTCCTGCTTCTGACCACCGAGACACTCCTCATCTGCTCATGCTCACTGACCCTCCTCACTGACCACCTCACTGACCACCTCACTCACCCTCCTCACTCACCCTCATCACTGACCCCTGTTCTCACTGACCCCTGACCTCACTGACCCACACGTCCCCTCCAGGCTCCACCCCAGCCCACCTGGTGCTCACCTCTCCAGGGTCTCGGTGCCAATGGCGTCCGCCTGTGTGGAGATCTTGCTCCACATGGACACGATGATGGTCCTCTCAGCTCTGGTCAGAGACATGGTGGCGGCTGAGTGGGAGCTGGGCGCGCTGAGAACTGGCGTCCTGGTGCTCAGTCCTCAGGGTCCCCTTATATATGTGGAGCCAGGGTGGGGGCCACGCTGTGGTCATCGTTGGGGGAGAGGAGGGGGCCGTGGGTGTGGATCTCTTATCAGATCCAGTGACCATGGGCGGTCAGGGCCTGGTGGGCTTGGTGGGGTGAGGGGCTATCACTCCGGCCACCCTTGCTGGGCCTGACAAGACTCCAGGGGAGATAGGGGCCCAGTCAGCCCAGGAGGTCATCCTGCATTTGTAGCCCAGCCCTGCACTTTCTTGTCCATTTCAGAATTGCAGAATGGGAGAAGCCAGAGGAATGCCCACATACCGGTTCTCGGCTGGCCTGTGTCCCTGCTGGCCCCATTACTGCTGGGCTGGGCTGTGGCTGGACCCACAAGACACCTCCCCCCCTGCCCAATGCACACACTGGCTCTAGGATCCCTGGGTTTCCTCCAAGAAAACAATGCATTCATTGCCTGGTGGGCCCTGAGGAGGGAGATACTGACTGGTTTCTGAAAAGCTGCGGAAGTGGCAAGTAAACAGAAGAGAATTCTTCTAATATCATGTGATTTTAAGTTCTGCAATGTTGCTCACCAAGTCATAATTTAAACAAAGTGAGGCAGATATGCCTTTCTATTTCAACCTACAATACAATTGATTTTTTTTAGTATGCTGCTCTGTGAATTTTGACATGTGTATAGATTTTGTAACCTCAACCATAATCAGGACACACAGAGCTCTATCACCCCCAAAACTCCCACTGGCTGCCCCTTTGCAGTCTCTTCTTCCTCTATCCCCTAAACTGACACCACTATACTTCTGTCTTTTTTAACATGTCCTGTAAACGGAAATATACAGCTTGTCAACATACAGCGTGTCATCTTTCAGGACTGGCTTCTTTCTTAGCGTAATATTCTTGAGATACATGCATGTTATTGCCTGTATCAATAGCTGGTTTCCTTTTACTGCAGAATAGTACTCCGCGGTAGTAATGTTCATTCATTCTCCCACTCAAACTGGGTTTTTCCCTGTTTGGGGGTATTACAAGTAAAACTGCTGGGAACATTCTTGTGTGGTCTTTATGTAAACATGTATTTTTATTTCTCTGGGATAATACCATATCTAGGAGTAGAATTGTGCTAAGTGTATGTTTAACTTAGTAGGAAACTGCTAATCTGTTTTCCGGAGTGGCTTTACCATTTTGCATTCCACCCAGCAATGAAGAGAAGTCCTAGGTGCTATGTGTCTTTGTCAGCACTTCCACACGTTGGTTGTTCTGATGTTGTGGGGCCATACGACATGCTGGCTTCAGTCTGCATTTCCCTGACAGCCAGTGACATGGAGCATCTTCTCACATGCTTGTTTGCCATCCAGGTTTTCTCTTCACTGAAATCTCTTTCCTGGTATTTTGACCATTTTAAAATTGGGTTGTTTGTCTTCTTACTATTGAATTTTGAGAGTTCTGTATGTATTCTGGATGCAATCATTTGTCAGATATGCACTTTGCAAATATTTCCTTCTAGTCTGTAGCTTGTTGGTTCATCCTCTTAATAGTATCATTTGCAGAGCCGGAGTTTTATTTTTTGATGAAGTTTAATTTATCAAGTTTTTCTTTTAGGATTCATGTTTTTAGAGTCATGTCTGAACATTCTTTGCCTAATCCCAAGTCACAAAGCCTTTATCTAAGTGTTTTCATCTAAGACTTTTTTCTAAGTGTTTCAGAATTTATATTTTACACTTAGGTCTGTGATCCATTTTGAGATCATTTTTGTTTGAGGTATGAGGCTTAGGTCCTGGGTTGTTTGTATTTTCTCTTTACCTATGAGTGTCTAATTTATCCAGTACTTTTAGTTGAAAACACTATACTTCCTCTATTGAGCTACCTTCTCTAACTTATTTGTAAATGATTAATTGCACATATTTCTGCACATCTATTTCTCTATTCTTTCTTTTATTCCACTGACCTATGTGTCTATCCTTCACCAATATCACACAGGCTTTATTACTATAGCTTTATGTCATGTCTTAAACTTAGATAGTGTCCCAAGAATGAGAGAAAACATTTGCAAATCATATATTGGATCAGGGACTGATCCAAAATATAAAAAAATCTTACAAGTCCAGAACAGACAGCGAACTGAAAACTGGGAAAAGTACTTTAATAGACATTCCTCTAAAGACATCATAAAATATCCAATAAACCTGTGAAAAGGTGCTCAGTATCATTACTCATTCAGTTCAGTTCAGTTCAGTCGCTCAATCGTGTCTGACTCTTTGCGACCCCATGAATCGTAGCACACCAGGCCTCCCTGTCCATCACAAACTCCCGGAGTTCACTCAAACTCATGTCCATCGAGTCGGTGATGCCATCCAGCCATCTCATCCTCTGTTGTCCTCTTCTCCTCCTGCCTCCAATCCCTCCCAGCATCAGGGTCTTTTCAAATGAGTCAACTCGTCGCATGAGGTGGCCAAAGTATTGGAGTTTCAGCTTTAGCATGAGTCCTTCCAATGAACAGCCAGGACTGATCTCCTTTAGGATGGACTGGTTGGATCTCCTTGCAGTCCAAGGGACTCTCAAGAGTCTTCTCCAACACCACAGTTCAAAAGCATCAATTCTTCGGTGCTCAGCTTTCTTCACAGTCCAACTCTCACATCCATACATGACCACTGGAAAAACCATAGCCTTGACTAGACAGAACTTTGGTGACAAAGTAATGTCTCTGCTTTTTAATATGCTATCTAGGTTGGTCATAACTTTCCTTCCAAGGAGTAAGCGTCTTTTATTTATTTTTTTATTTCTTTATTTTTTGCGTCTTTTAATTTCATGGCTGCAATCACCATCTGCAGTGATTTTGGAGCCCAAAAATTAGGGAAATGCAAATCAAAACCAAAAAAGATAGCACATCATACTCACTAAGATGGCTGTAATCAAAAACCCCAGCCTGAGCCCTAATCCTAACCTTACCTAAAACTTATAGAATGGCTCTATTTAAAAGACAAAATGACAAGTGTTGGTAAGGAGATGGAGAAATTAGAATCTTTAGACTGCTGATGGGAATGTAAAATGGTGCAGCTACTATGGAAGACAGCCTGGCAGTTCCTCAAAAGGTTAAACAGAGTTCCCACATGACTCAGCAATTCCATTCCATAGTACACACCCAATAAAATACATCCATTTGAAAACTTGTACTGTGTTCATAGCACCACTATTCATAACAGCCAAAAAGTGCAAACAACCCAAATGTCCTTCAAGTGATGGGTGAATCAAATATGGTATATAATCTAGACAGTGGAGTAGTATCCAGTCATAAAAAAGAAGAAGGTACTGATACGTGAGTGAATCTTGAAAAAATTCATATTGTATGATTCCGTTTACATAAATGTTGAGAACAGGCAAGTCCTTAGAGACAGAGAGTGGATTAGGGAACTTGCCTAAGTTGTTAACTTGCCCAGTGGTTAAGAATGCTCCTGCCAATGCAAGGGACATGGGTTCAATCCCTGGTCCGGGAAGATTCCATGTGCTGAAGGGCAACTAAGCCCGTGTACCACAACTACTGAGCCTAACACTCTAGAGCCTGAGAGCTGCGGCTACTGAAACGCACCTGCCTAGAGCCTGTGCGCCACAGCGAGAAGCTCCCACACGAGAGACCCATGCGCCATGCTAGAGAGCAGCCCCTGCTTGCTGCAGCTAGAGAAAGCCTGTGTGCAGCAGTGAAGACTCAGAGCAGCCAAGAATGAATGAATAAAATTTAAAAAAGGTAAAAGTCGATTAGGTTGTCTGGGGCCAGGGTAGTTGGGGTCTGTGACTGTTAATGGGGCTGGGGGTTCTTTTGAGGTAATGAAAAGTTTCTAAAATTGTGGTGATGGTCACATAACTCTCTGAATATACAAAACCCCACTGAATTGGACACTTAATTTTTTTTTTCTTTTTTTTGGTCTGCGCAGCATGGCTTTTGGGATCTTAGTTCCTTGATCAGGGACCACACTTGTGTCTGCTGCGGTGGACGGGCACAGTCTTAACCACTGGACCACCAGGGAAGTCCCAAATTGCACACTTAAAATGGCGGGATGTATGGTATGTGAATTTTATCTCAATTAAGGTGTTAAAAGAGTGGGTAATATCATTCCTCCATCATTATTCTTCTTTTCCAAAACGGTTTTGGTGACTCTGGTTCCTTTGCCTTTCCATGTGAATTTTTTCTGTTGATCAGTTGCTCAGTCGTGTCTGACTCTTTGTGAACCCATGGACTGCAGCACACCAGCCTTCCATTGTCCTTCATTATCTTCTGGAGCTTACTCAAACTCATGTCCATTGAGTTGGTGATGCCATCCAACCACCTCATCCTCTGTCGTCCCCTTCTCCTCCTGCCCTCAATCTTTCCCAGCATCAGGGTCTTTTCCAGTGAGTCAGCTGTTCACATCAAGTGGTGAAAGTATTGGAGTTTGTGCTTCAGCATCAGTCCTTCCAATGAATATTCAGGGTTGATTTCCTTTAGGATTGACTGGTTTGATCTCCTTGCAGTCCAAGGAATTCTTAAGAGTCTTCTCCAGCACCACAGTCGAAAGCATGAATCCTTCATCATTGTCTTCTTTGCGGTCCAACTCTCACATCTATACATGACTACTGGAAAAACCATAGCTTTGACTATATGGACCTATGTTGGCTAAGTGATGTCTCCGCTTTTTGAATTTCAGAGTTAGTCAAAGAGTTACTTGCACAAAAGCCTAGGAGTTTTTCAGGATGGAGGTAAATGTTCCCTGAGTGGAGAGTTCTGATCACAGATATTTTGCTAAACTATTCTTAGAGAAAATTGTGAGGCTCAGACAAGCTCTCTGATAGGAAAACATGTGCACAAGAGTAAACAAGTGTTGAGCACCTTCTGTGCTTGGCGTGTTACTGTGCTATGCAGCTTGCTTCTCCTACACTTGAGACGGGGCTGATGAGACTGTGGAGGTCTGCGGGCAG